ATACATATATGCTATTTTTAATTTATTTACTTTATTTATTCAATTATACTACTTATTATTTACTTAACTCATTATTAATAATTATTTTAATATGCTATTAATATTTATATGTAGATCTAATTTGTATTCTAAACTCAAATAAGATTGAATAGGATATTCTGAAAGCACATTTAATTAAGAAAAGTGATTGATCTATGAATAATGTTTATATTACTTTAAGATCTAGAAAAATTATTATTGTTGATCTTTTTAAAAGAAATTTAGGCATTACTAATATTAAACAAAATTAGTTTAGGATTTTTAACTATTATTATTAATTATTACAACTATTGTCGTGAAATCGCCTAACAGCCGGTACTGCTGTCAGAAGAGTCTCATTGTATCAAAAGAGTTTGAACTTTAAGTGTCTACGAATTTGTAAGCCGACAGATATGTGTGTTATAGGTATAGTAAAACTGGTTCAAAATAAAAGAAACAGATCATTCATTCACTAACACAAGCAGTTCGGTAGGAGAAGTAAAGGCAGACACGTCATACTTAATTAGATCAACAGTCTGTATGAATTTACCTATATCTTGTTGATTATTTATCACAATAAATATTTGTGTGTAGGTCAGTTTTTAAATAATCTCTTAAACAAATATTGAATGGATTTGAGTAAATTTTTTTCACCACATAGTTTTTATATGGATTTATACAAGAAACTAAGTGATTAATGTGAAAATTATTTACATGAGTATGATTTTACATTTAGTTTTAAATAAACTAGTCTTTAATTTTGTTGTATATAAAAATATTTCAGATTTATATAAGTCCTACCTTGATAATCACAGAAAATTTTCCATCTACGCCACTGCGAGCTAAATGAAAGATAGCTCTATGCATTTCACTAGCAAATCCATTGGGCTTGTCACCAGTGTAAGTGCTTTTTATTACAAGATTACTGACTTGTAAGGTATCGTCTTTGAAGTATTCCTTAAGAACATCTTGCAAAAAATCAGCAGTAATCCATTCTGGAGGTTGATAGTCTTTAGCACCAGTACCCATTTTCTTTTTGTTTTCAAATTAAATTTATTCAAATGTGTGTAAATTTATTTAAATGTATTTAAATAAATTTAATTATATTACATTCGACACAATAGAAATTTTTTTTTAAGTCACCTGACTTGTGTGAATAACGATCACAAAAATGACCGGCAACAAATTAAGCTAAACGAAAATGAGTCTGAAATGCCTTTGAAGTTATTTTGGTTAAATTTTTATTTAATATATTTTATCTTTAATATTCACGTGTTAATTAAAAACTCTCTGCTCTCCGATTTTCGTAAAAGTATATGCCGGCTTAACGTTTAGAGCGCCGTCAAGATAAGAGCTTTCCGTACAATCAAGTCAATTTTTGCTCGTGTATTTATTGAGGTTCTGTACACTGAGCGAATTTTTAAGAATGCAAATATGAAAAAAATATATTAAGATTTTTTATTTATACAAACGAGTATTGTTCAAGTAAAACATATGCAAATTTCATTATGTAACACAACTCTGATTTCATTCAACTAATCAATGTAATATTCCGGATTTTTTTTTATAAAAACTTACATAATATTTTGTTTGTAGGCACGGGTTTTTCGTTCATATGCGAAATATAAACAAATATGTCAGTGCAAATCTAAATTATACTTAATAACACTGGGTATATGGTGAAATGTTTATAACTTTTAAAATATTTATTTTAAGGTAGCAGAAGACCTGGTGCGACAGCGAAAACGTGAAGAAGATTGGCCGAAAGTGAGCTAGCTGAAACACGATATAGATGGAACGACATCTATACAGCAGCATCAAATAGAGTTAGATTTAGAAGAATTATTGAGGACCTATGCCCCACTGGGAGAAGTGGAAAATAATAGTAGTAGATTTATTATTCTAAATGAATTTCATCGTTCTTTAAGGACTCTCATTTCGATACAATACATTTATGCGAATCCCAGATATTATTGTTAAAGCCAATTTTCGGAATGACCTTCAAAGCGCAACTACAGGCGTAGAAAAGGAATAGCTAAAGGAATAATCACAAACCATACAGGATTAATCGGGACGCTGCGATGGTTTTGAACCAATCTTAGTTGAGTTTTTGGCGAATTGGTTTCGAAGAACCAAGATAATGTGATATGGGGCATTATCGTGTTGCAAAAACGAAAAATTGTAGGCTCTCAATTCTGCCTTCTGGGAGCATAATCTTAAAATAATATTTCTTGTTAAACAGCCACATCACGATTGTTTGGCCCACATCACGATAATCACAGAAATCATTTTAAAACTTTTGCAATATATTCGCTCGATTGGTTGGTTGTTTTCGGATCGCATGCATAGATTCAATTTTAATATCCACTCATCATATATTTTATTTTATCCAAAGTGACGTTATTTTTTTCAGTCTTCTCAACCATAAAATATTCTTCAAAATAGGTTATACAATTCTAACTGAAAAGTTAGTAGTATCAGAAGGCTATATGATGATATGATTTCCAGCAGTTAATGATGATGTTTCCATACACCGATTAGTGTCTTAAACGTTTTCTTTGCCTACTTGGAGTTGTGTACAACAATTGTTAACATTTTTTGCGAGAAAGTCTATTCATTGAGGGTCTTTTGCAGTAGTCTTAACATTTCTGTAGCAGATATAATATTTCACAAACTAAATTTAATGCAAATTACTTCCTCTACAAATAAGAACATTGTAAAAATCGCTTATTTAAATTTTCATGTAGAAAACATTTGAATCCATTCTTAAGAGCAAAGTCTAATTAATTGTTGTCTATTTTCTTTCATACTTATTACTAAAGAACCGGTATATTTAGGAGTTTGTTAATTGATTAGATTCTTCACAAGCACTACCATTACACCCAAATTCTTCAATAATATTATGTAGGTCGATTGCAAGTAATGTGTGAAATGTAGAAATGTGATTTTTTGAATAAATTTTGATAAATTCTTCACGCTCTATAAATGTGTACTTTGAATACAAATATCTATTCTGGAGACAATTAACTAAAAATATTGCAATATAACGTGTAAAAATTTTAAAGTATTTATTTCATCATCTAACGTATTTATATATGAAAATTTATGTAGATGTAGATATAGATATGTAGATAGTGATGTATAATATAAGTGCTCCGGCTAGAAAGGTATTTGATTCGATACCCGCAGGTGGAAAACGCGGTAGAGGACGTCCGCATCTACGGTGGAAGGACCAGGTGACCAACGATTTGGGGGCGCTCGGTACTACCAACTGGCGTCAGAAAGCAACTAATCGGGCTGACTGGCGGAGGCTACTCGACGCGGCCAAGGACGACACACGTCTGTAATGGCCAACTAAGTAAAGTAAGTAAGTAGATGTATAATATATAAGAAATTTAAAATGTTTGAGCTTATCCGCATGCTAGGTAAGAGTTGGTGTTTCTTTGCCACTTAAAAGTGATTATTAAGTTCATGGAAGGCATTTTTAAGGAAATCGAGATTCATATAGATAAGACAATCATTTACGTAGAAAATTTGTATGTTTAGGGTACTTAAAGAATATCTTGTTGTTTAGAAACAATAAGATTTAGAGTTTAATATAAAGAAATAACGCTCATTTAATAATAAAATTTTTAAACTTTCAAGAACTTTGAATTCTTCCAAAGTAATTTATAAAAATCATATGTAAAGAACAAAATATTAAGGTTCACAATTAAAGGCTGAAGACTTGATTATGTTAGCTTAAATTTGGAATTAATATTTACTATATAGATATATTCGTATATGTTCTTATTTATGTTATTAAAAAAATAAAAAAAATTTAATATAAAGTTATAAAACATTTTTACAGTTACAGACGATATAATAAACACTCTTATAAATCTGATAGATGTATAAGGTAGTGAATTAAATACATAACATATATGAGGTGTCAATGGGTGTCAATGGGTGCAAAAGATTATGTAAGAAAATTTTGCTATAAAAAATAAAAAACTCATTTAAATTATATTAATGTAAACTAGTTAATTAAATTAAAAATTATTAATAATTAATATAATTAAAGTAATTAATGTATGTATTATTGTTTCCGGTAAAACTACGGTTTCTTTATAGCGACAAAGAAGCGATATTTAAAATTCGAATAGCAAGGAAAGAAAGAATCGCTTCTTTGTCACTATAACTTACCAGCTACCAGCGCAGCTTTACCAGCAACAATAATACATATTTTAAAAATTAGACTTGTGAATATAAGAACAATAATATATAATATTGTTCACCTTTTCCTAAATCGCGAAAGCGAGTCTGTAGAGTAACATAGCATAGCTTCTTTGTAATAAGCACCAGAATTTTGCACTTTACTAAGAATAGCTTTGAGTATAAAAATATAGGCGAACTCAAAAAGTTAATTTTCAATTCGTTGAACTTGTGTTTCCAAATAAAGCTGTAGTTTATAAGCTCGTTCTAATTTAAAAGCATGGCCAGTGCTTTGGTTGGTGTCACTAATTCAATAAAAATAAGTGACAATAAAAACCTGGAACTTGAGCATTGAAAGTTTGTGCAGCCTTGGCTTCTTGTGGATAAACACGATTAGTCATCGCGTCTAATTTGACAGGTACGAGTTCTAAGCCTGGCACTAATTAAATAAAATTCGATTTTTTCCTAAGACCACTGATGAAGAGTACTTGGCAATATTCAGCAAAATTTCAATAAAAAATAAAAATAAAATTTTTGTGTTTGCCCTTTCTTGCTTTCTTTGCTATTCGAAAATTCTCTAAATTAATTAATTAAATTAATTATAAATAATAAAGTATATATGTAGCATCTATGATGTGATTATGTAATTCAGTACTAGATCCGAAGTAATGTCATTTCTTTTGGGAAGATTGGATATATAACTGAAATTTATATTCAAACACAGTTATTTTTTCATTAAATCAGTTTGAATTATGGATCGAAAAATAGACATATTTCAAGGATATTACATTTTGTATTACTCAGAACATTTTCAGCGTTGAGTTTTTTTGTTAACTTTCTGATATAGTATTGGGCATCATTATTATGCATAGACTTACTATATATTTTAGTTTTATAAGTTTTATAGTTTTATAGTTTTATAAATAAAATAATACAAGTAGTATATAGACTTTCATCTCATACGACATTCACTTTGCAATCAAGTTGACACCTTGGAAAGATAATGAATTCTGAAACAAATATCATATTAATTTTGATAACAATTTTATAACATATTATAACATCTAGATTGTGTGAGCAGCTGCAAAGATTCTTCTAGTTATCATCTAATGAGGCGTTTGTGTTTAAAGTTGGTATATTAAATTTTATGATATTGTCGACTAATGCTATATTTATTTAATGATATTTTATTAACATAAAAATAGTATTGTGTAGAACAAGCATTTGTTTCTTATATACATTTAAACATTTATATACATTAGTGCACTTATATTTAAACTAAAATTAAAAATCTAATATGCCACGTCGAAGTAAAAATGGAAAAATATCTAAGACTGCTCGAACATACACGGGATTTGTAAACGCCTTAAGACGGAATTTATCGCCCTCTTCTCCGGGTTGCATTAAATTTAATAGACTAGCTTCTTTGTTCGATGGTAGGAGAATCAATACCAAATGTGTAAATGTTGTTAGATAGCCTGTAAATTTAGAAAATAATTGAATAAAGGAATTCATATTTACTATAAGAAAAATGTGTATTATTTTTAATGAAAAATTTATATAATAAGCATCATATCAAATTGGAATACACGTATAAAGCTAAGTTTATAAACAAAAATAAAAGTGTAGACATTTTAATTGAAAAATTATTCAATTACTATTTTATTCTCTTATATCAGCATAATCAATAAATAATTATGATCTATGTAAAAAAATATTATTCACTGTTTATTCGTTAAGTTTGAAAATTCAAGAATAAGCATCTTTTCAATCAGACTTACTGGGAATATGGTATATGGTGTTAATTAAACTGCGAATTCGAAACATTGATATATTTTTAATTGTGGTAAATTTATTTCTCGACTTTTTTTTTTAATAATGTTTTTTATATATTTTATATTCGGCTATAGGTCACCTTTTCTTAAAGTTAAAATTAAACGTTTATTTAATATTTTTCAATCATCATCCTGACCATCATCAGGATCAGGATCTAAAATGAGTTAATAAAATCTATATCTAAACGTCATGCACTTGATTCTGTCGTATATATTGCATTTATGGTAGATCCTGATCTTGATGACTCTCAAGAAGAGTCGAAATATAGAATATTTTAAATGCAGTGTGTATTCTGAAGTTCTTTATATGTGAAGTCGATAAGTTTTAGTTTCTATATATACTAAATCGAACAACTAAATGAAAAAGGTTTCTTTGAGTTTATGTAAAAAAACACATACACAAGATTTTTTATTAAAAAAAAGGAACATATTAAAAAAATTATAATTTTAAATTTTTGAATAGTTTCTACTTAAAAATTAAATATGTAAATATGTATTGTTATTAGAAGTATTTAAAAAAATTAATTTATCAAGCGCCTCACATCATTAATTTCACTGAAATTCATTTATAATTTCAATAAAATTTCGATCATTTATATAGCCTGAGATATGGCCGTTTAAAAATATGTCTACAATGCCAATTCTCAAAAACCCATGTCTCCTTATCGTCTAGAAAAAAAATTTAAAAATTTTTTCTGAGGTACGGGTCTTCTCATTTTATGAAAGGAGCTTATAAAAAAAATTTCAGCCCAATTGGAGATGATGAGGTTATAATGGTATTCAATTTGTAAAAAAAATGACCCATATACAAATGTAACTTCAGATCTAAATTGGAGTTTCTCAGTTTTTGAGGGTATTACAGATGTTTGTTTATTTATAGGTATGAACAACAGATATGTTGATATATATTTGATATATTAGTTATTTGTATATATCTATTTATATATAAAATATATCTATATAAATCAATGTATATAATATAAATAAATATATTACATGGTATATACGAATGAAATGAATTTTAAGATCTACATTTTACATGCCAATATTTTAATGAAAGTTATTTTGGCCATAAATTTAGATATATCTTAATGTTAATAATCTTTATTTTTAAGAGTTCATTGCTACAGCAATATTTCTAGAAAGTGAACTTTGAAGAGGCTAAATAGACCTAGTATAATTGTTTAAATTGCCGAAAATTTTGTAATTTTTGTTTAACTTAATCTTTACTATATTTATATATGTTTAATTATTATGTCTATACTCACCCCAAAATCCATGTTTCAACATGCTTATATGGAGTTCGCGTAGCTTTGGTAGTGGCTTTGTAGATTGAAGTAGCCTTAAGCATTTGAGAAGATGTGTATGATAAATACGTACAAAATTATCGAATTCTCGTATACGTAAATTGCTTTCTGATGAACACATGATGACTTCCCAGAGATCTTGTGCTGGACTACCCCATTTACATAACTGAAAATCAATAAAACGTATTTGATTGATTTCACCAGTTGAAGTATAGTTTTGCATGATATTGCTGGACCAAAAATCTCCATGATTTAAAACTTTAAATTCATTCGGATCAGTGTTAAAACAACCCATAGCAGCATTAACAAATTGCTCTGCATTTGGCTGAAGAGAAAATAACATTTTTGAATGATTACTAAAAGACAAATTGATTTTCTTTTTACTTACAATGCGCTCTGCGTATTTCTCATAATCCTCCAAGCCCCAAGTAGACATCGCTGCTTTGAAACTTTGCACGCGTGCTTGATAAGATTTCGATTTCTGATAGTTTGCGGGTAGATAACTTTTTTGAAATTCTTCTGGGTATGCCCCATTACGCTGCTGCCATATCACTGTGACTGCATGAAATTCAGCCAGTTTTTCTAAAACGCGTTTCATATGTGCCATGTCGAAACCTTTCAGACGATTTATATTTTTAAATTTTTTAGTGTTTAAATCTTCTAGAACAAGTGTAATGCGTTCGGCCTTCTCCTCAACCCAGACGCATTTAGGCGCCAATTTTACTTTCTTATTAATATCATTATAGAGCGTTTCCAGTTGAGGCAGCAATTGTTCGTACATAAATTTTTCCTTGGGGAATAGATTTAGAGTGTTTATAAACGTACCTCCTTTGTCTTTATCTAGCATGGTTTTCATTATATATGACTGCTGTTGAGTAAAGCCATCTGCAATGCAAGTATATGAGTTGTTATCGGTTAGATAATATATTTTGATAATTAAACTTACCTTTCATTTCTATATCCATGTGTATACGTACCATAATTGATGTGTAATTCTCCCCGGGTGGCGTGGCAGCTGTAGGTGTGAATTTTAAAATTTTCTTGAACTGTGGCATATCTTTCTGTAGAATTTTTTCGAAGTATTTCTCGTTTATCCATTTCGGTATTTCGAGATTCAAATTCGGATTAAATTTTGTGCTGTTATCTGGCATATTTGTTGGTTGTCTTGGATTATTTTTGTTTGCTTTTTTGTTGAATATTTCAAGGTATTCCGCAATTGTCGTTTGTCAACCGATAGTTACGTTGTTTTTACTGGAACTAAAACTCTAGTCGCTTACCTTTGACGAAATATCTCACCTACTTTGTATGCTCTCTCATAATTACGATTCGTTTTCCAATTTAAATTTAGTAAATAACTATTTTAGCAGAGCGTTTTGCGCTCTGCGTTTTTTATTTTAAATGTAGCCACATAAATACTATAAACATATATCTATATATGCACATATAAATGTGTGTTATTTACAATTGTTTATATCACCCAGATAATAATCGGTTTTGTTTTAATGTTTGTTTGTCGACAAGTTTGCTTGACTGTAACTCAGCCGTTGATTAAATGAATTTCAATTTTAAATAAAGAACGGCAATGCTTGGATATTTTTTTTCGCAGATAATGCGGTTACGTTATGTGCATTTAAAACACCAAACGTACTGATTAGCAGGTTCTTACTAGAGAATTTCTACTGAAAACTGATAAGGAAACTGCTCTAGTTGTAAGAGGGCAACTATTGTTCCACTCAATTTAAGTGCACTGAACACAAGGGAGTAGTCGTATGAGCGCTGGAGAAATTGTTTTCATCATAATTCTTAATTATATTAATTTTGTAAAGATTTTATATGTTATAAATATAAAATAGATATTGACGTGTTAACTATTATAATCTCTAGGTAAATGAAAGTATGAGATTTTTGTGCAGTCCATATACCCAAACGTATTCTTTTGAGTCTACATATGCCGTGTAAGCTAACATAGTACAGTGATAATATATAATTAGCAATATTAAAATAATTACTATAGTTTCCAACTCAAAATTTTAATATATATTGTACTAATTAATAAAAACGTATTCAATTTCTTAATATTTATTAGAATCACTAATTAAAATGTTAGTCGCACTTTTGCCATCATATATAATATAAATGAAATACATATATATATATATATATATATTATGTACACTTGTACATTAATATGTTGGTTTGTCGAATGTGTTACGTTTTAACACGTTAATTATATAACACGTGTATTCTTCCATTGTGTTTTATTTCTAGCCTCTGGGAGTGAGTACATAAGGCAATGTATCTGATGGCATTCAAGCCGATAAATGACAGCACAATTCTGCTCTGCTTTAATCCTAGTATAAGCATCGTTTCTACGTGGCACTCTTGAATAATTATCTAGTAGTCTTTGAATAACAAACCAAAACTGTGTACAGCGAGGTGCCCATCTTCATGAGTTTGTGTGTAGGGTTTGACATTCGTCATTAAAATCAGCAGCCAGTAAAAGACATGATCTAACCTTCTCAAAAGAAATTAAATGTTGATAACTTCCTCAGACGAACTATGATTTACAGATATTATCTTTAATATTCTGAAGCACTATAGTTAAGATGCATAATTACTACTACTTCTTATTCCCTCCAAATAATAGGTTTTCTCAAAACTCTCAAAATACGCGTTTGTTTCGGTAATGACTTCTTCATTCGACTCAAATATCTTACCACCCAACCATTTCTTTAGGTTTGGAAACAGAAAATAGTCGCAGGGGGCTAAATGTGGAGAATATGCTGGATGGGGTGACTAGACTAGTGTGCACACGTGACTAGACAAGTGTGCACACGTGGATTGTCTTGATGGAACAGCACTTTCTTCTTCGCCAAATGCGGCCGTTTTTGCTTCAAATCAACGTCGAATCTGTTCAAAAGCTTTGAATAATATTTGCAGGTGATCGTTTTATCTTTCTCGAATGACACCGCTTGCATCCCAAAAAATTGTGGCCATGACCTTGTTGGCTGACAAATTCTGTTAGGCCTTCTTTGGTCCACGTTCACCCCTAGCAATCCACTGTTTCGATTGTTCCTTGGTCACTGGCGTATTGTGATGGATCCATGTTTCGTCCACAGTAAAAAACGGCGCCAAGAATTCGTTCGGATTATGGCTGAACATCGCTAAACACTCTTTTGAAGTGGTCACAGGATTGCGCTTATGGTCGAGTGTGAGCAAATGCGGCACCCATCTCGCGAAAAGTGCTTTCATGTCCAAATATTCGTGTAAAATATGATCACTTATTTTGGGCAACCTGAACGTTCGGTGTCACTAGTGCTGGTACGACCACAACGGAACTCTGTAAACCACTTCTTAACCATTGAAATTGATGGTGCCGAGTCCCAGTAGTATTTATCAAGTCTTTCCTTAGTTTCAGTGATGGAGTTTTTACGTAAAAAGTAATGCTTAATCTGCACACTTTTTTCCATTTTCGTAAAAATTCACGAGGTTGTCTGCTTTGAAAGGCTATCAAACACCAACTGAACGACGTAGCTTGCTCAAAATTACAAAGTTGCCCACTCTTAGATTAAAGCTGACGACAGCACTGTTGCATTTGGATTAACTGCGAGGAAAATTCAAAAAGTCACTGACTTATCAAACCGCCCACGTATATAAGCGTACTTTACCTGCTATGCAAATAAGCGTGTAGTTCGCTTCCATTTTTTAAATAATAAACTTTAAAATCCAGCAAAGGGCTTGTTTTTATCAACTTTATCCACGCAACTTTCTCTAACATTACTCTAATTTGCGCGTCGACCATGATGATTCGAAGAAATTTGTAACATTTAAATTTTGCTTGGGTATTTCAAGGAAAGCAAGAAAGAGACGAAGACATTTAGGGTTCCCTTACCAGAAACTGCAGCTTCCATGAAATTCATATTCAAAAATTGTCTATGTTGATTGTCTTCACGTAATTTGACATACATTTATGGTAGTATGTGACACTAGACTCCCTCACTGCGATATTCATAATCCTACGTTGCAATTCTTCTGATCGCTTAAAATGAGATTGATCACTTCTTGATTGACGGTGAAACCACTTCTGATGTGGTATACGTACTGTCATATCGTAGCTTTTGTTAGTAAATTTATACATTATTTATTTGGAATTTGAAGTAATATTTGAACCAATGTTTTTAAAAGAAGTACTTGGTTGATTGCTTATATGTAGACACAATTTTGAAGAAACCAAAAGGCATTTAAATATTTGTTAAAAGTATTTATATTTGAATCATAAATCTTCTGTAAGATGTACAACTAATGCATTTTATTATATGTATGTGTGTACATATACGGAACTCTACGGTAGTTTCAGCTGTATCAGAAAAATTAATTTTTACTCTTCAGTGGATGGTTATTTGACTAATTGAACTATGTTATAGACTATGAATATAAATAAAATGTTGCATTTTATATTAACTCTTTTGAAACTTTTATACTAGTATCTTTTTACTAGTATCTGAGTATTTTAGATATATTTTATCTTTTTTAGATAATTTGTAGACATTATTTTATGCTTGTATGATTTGACTGTAAGGATGCACTGTTATATATCTGTTATTATATGTCACATATATATATTATCTCAGTTGATGTTCTTCACTTGTAGTTAAGATAATTTTCAGATGACATGCTTTCCAGTTCCGCATTTTTCTTATATGGTAATAATAATACCTTCAAGTTTAATATTTGTTTATTGAAATAAAAACTATTACGGTCTAAAGTTAGTTTATGCCTTAGCGATATGTGAAATCTCCATTTGGTGGCTCTGTTCCATTCTACTAATTGTGCTTATTATAATGTAATAAAATAGTAAAAGTAATTGGTGTAGAATTTATTTCTATAATAAGGAAGTGTACTTCAGATTGTAATCACAATATTGGTTGGCTTCATCGTCATTTTTATTCAAGGGACTTATTTGTTTTGAAAATTTTTATTAAAAACTTATGATATATACTATAATTTCATATTATTATAAATTTTTATTAGAAACTTATATAAAAAATGAATCCAGAATGTTTCCTAATTAAATAATGTTAACTGAAGAGGTGATTACTTGATCCAAGAAATGAATAAATGCGTTGGTAAAGGAGGAGATCCCAAAAACAACATTCTGATATTAATGTCATTCATATAGAAAAAATTCAAAATTTATATTAAGATAATTGACTAAGTAGTTGTTTCAAAGTTAAGTTGATATCATTAAATATTGAAATTTCATTAAATAAGCAAAAGCATCTTTTTCAGTTCTTTGATTAACATAAATGTTTTAATTGTCGTAGTCCTGGAAATTGAATAAACCGCGTCTGTAGTAAAACGGATATAAATCTCGCATTGTTTCCTTAAAAGCTGGATTCATAAAGGCACGCATTCTGAATTTTTCGCCCTCTTCATCGTCTCTCAGAAGAAAATTAATGTTGCTGTCTTTATCAGATGGCAACAAAACAAGGAATAAATGATTAAAGCAAGCAAAGAACGCTGCAAATGTATATAAATAATTTTAAAAGACATCTATTTAAAGAAAAATATTTAAACTATAACTTACCATAAAAGCTATTGTGCTTAGAAAACATTTCTATTTGAATTTCACGCAACTGTGGAAGCGGCTGTTTAAACTTAAGCAGTTTAAGGCACTCAATCAAACGTTCATAGTAGATTTCCACAAAGTGATCAAACTCTTTAATACGAATATCTTTAGCAGCTGAAATGCTGATAAAGAATAATAAATCTTCAGCTGGACTACCCCATTTGCATATCTGAAAGTCCAACAGCAGTAACTCATCGACTTCGCCATCAGGCAAGCTGTTAAACATAAGATTACTGGACCAAAAATCACCATGCGTTAATACATTAAATTTATTATTTGAGGTATCCAAAGTACTTTGACAACATTTCCAATATTGTTCGAATGTTGGCTATAAAATAATTATTTAAATGAAAATTAAATTAATTTACATTTGTACAATACAAAATACTTACAAAATTCTTAATATATTTGTCAGCATCTTCCAATCCCCAACCACTTATAGCTTTCTTATAGGCATTTACTCGTGAATTGTATAAATTCTTATGAAATCCGTATCCTTCATTGTTATGCACAAATCCGCTTTGAAAGTCTTCTGGATATGGACCATGTTGTTCTGCATAAATTGCTGAGGCAGCATGATATTCAGCCAATTTTTGCAGAATACGTCTCATTTCTCCCATATTGCAGCCCTTCAAGCGATTTATGTTTTTGAAATTTTTGGTCTGTAAGTCTTCGAAAACGAAATTTATTCGTCCATCGTTAAGTTCTGTGAAAATACATTTTGGAGATAACTGGACTTGCCAGCCAGCAGCTTCATAAAGTTCTTCAAATGCAGGAAGATATGTGCGATACATTTCCATTTCTTTGGGGAAGAGTGACATTTTCTTAATATCACTACCACCTTTTTCATCATCCAATTGAGTTTTAAGGACGTAGGTTTTACGTTTTTTGCTACCATCTAAAATAGTTTCGTAATTATATTAAATAGAGCTTAGTTGTGGTAGTTCATTGAAATAATTTTAAACAGTTATAATAAATAAATAATATTTAATAAACTTTTTTATTACCTTTCATTTCCAAATCGATGTGTACGCGAAGCATTATGGATGTAAAATTCTCCCCTGGTGGTATCGCTGCCGTCGGTGTAAATTTAATAACCTTTTTATAATTTGGTTCATCCTTTTCCAAAATATTTGTAAAATAGTCTGCAGTTATCCATTTCGGTATTTCCAGATTTTCATTTGGATTTATGATGTCGTTATTTGGTGGCATGGCACTTTAAGAATTAAAAATATGAAACAAAATTTATATAATTATGTACATTTAGTATAAATCTTAAGTAATAACCATTTCCAAGAATTATATGCAAATACTATGCTCAAAATTATTTTCGATTATATAGACAAAGTTTTTCCTTCTCTAATAATTGATGAACTATTGGATTATATTAATGTTCTTGAAGTTCTTTGGCAAGACATAATGATAACAATTAATACGATGACTTGTTTCTTGAAACAACATTAATATATATTATCATTATATATAAACAATAACATTAAATTTTTATATGTAGCGAAGTGATTTATACTATAGAATAAAGTGGTTGAAAGAATGTAGTTTGTAGTTTGTGTGACCAACGATTAATCGAACTGGCTGGCGAAGCCTACTCGACGAGGACAAAGACGACTCATGTTTCTAATGGCCAACTAAGTAAGTAGGTATTTCAAGGTAATATTATGGTATAAGTATAAATGCATTGTGCCACACCTTATCAAAAGCTTGCTTAACATTAAGACGAACTTCAGTGCCATATGCGCATCTTATTTCGTTTGTTATTCCACAATATTTATTAGATGATCTTATCTTTCTCTCTGAAACTAGATTAATAGGTAGGTTGCTAATTGTCGTAAAGGCGCTTCAGTTTTAAGATAAGGATTTTTTGTATGAATTTTGACAGACGATGCACAAACTTATCGGCCTTTAAGATGTTAATATATGATCCTTTTCTACTTAGTGAATTTTACTACAGTTATATATTTTTGAGTTATATAAAATTTATTCTACTTTATAACTTTGATCTTTACTATACAATATAGTAACTTTCATAAAAGAGAAAGAGATTGTTGAAAGAGATTTTTGAAGATTTTCTAAGGATTATTAGTTTTAAAACAAATAATATAGAAATATCTTCGGAAGTTTGAGATAAAATGTTTTGGAACGATTACGAAATAATCTTTAAATAGTTCATACTGAAATAGTTCATAAGTTTGTTTTCATTTTAAGTGAGTTTCACAATTTTATGAAAATTTATCTTGATAAGATGATTAAAAAATAATAATAATATATTATTATTTAACATGTAATCTTATATGTATGTATTTTTATTTAAAAAGAGGCTTGTTCTATCTCATATAATATTTATGTGTCGTATCTTATCTTGTTATTATCGCGATTGTTTCCTGACTGATATGCCAATACTCTAGAAATACTAATATGAGTGTGGAACCTGATTAAATTGTCAGCAACACTACAAATTATATTAGATTGTTTTATATGAACAAATATGTTAGTTGGGAATGGAATATATTTATATATACATATTCAATTGCATATATGTTATATATGTATGTATATATGTGTTATATTAAAAGTATTAAAAACTTTATAATTTTAAACAGTGGAATAGAGCACTACGATAATCCATAGTATGTCTTTTATGATATTTACTAAACCTAACCGACACTGCTTTTCAAAGCCAAAATGTCGCTAATTAAAAGCACCTAATTTTGGACAGGATTAATAGCTTTCTCGCAACATAGTCAGTTGTTCAACATTAAAAACACTATATACATGCATGTAAGGATGTAATTATAATTTCCTGTGTAATAATGTACTGTTGCTAATTTAATTATACCAAATTATAGTTAATAATAAATATAGTTATTTTGGTACTGAAGATATGTCTGTATGGTTCTACCCCATAGTTATTCATCCCGATTATTGGCACTACTTATATTAGCCTTGCTTAGTTAGTAATTAATAATTTCATTTCATAACTTCATTTCATAATGGAATAATTTTTAACCATTAAATTAAATTAATTTATTATGTAATAAGACATATATGTCTTTATATATAAAGAATTTAAATATTGGAATAAGAAATTTTGTTACTTTTTTTTTTGTAACGCTTCTCATAAAATATTAAATGTTAAAAGAAATTAGATAATGATATATATGATTTAAGTAATTTGTTTGAATCGGTGATGCAGTGCCGACAAATAGTGCCATACGAGCCAACTAAATCAATTAAAGGCCACTAAATTTATATAATATTTATTCAGTTGTTTCTTTTAGTTCTGACTGTAGATTTTTTGTCGTTAAAATTTAGTCTAAATGTAGTTAAAAGTAAATATTACACATAACTTATAATATAAAACCATCGTTTTCTGATATGCCTAGTCGCATCAGTAAAAGGATTTATATAATAATAATAATAATAAATTAAATAATTAGTTAAAGGAATGCCATGAGTACGTAAAATAAAAATCTCTTATTTTTAAGCAATTATAAATGTCAATATTTTCAAAATGAATAAATATATATATAATGAAAAATATATATTAACAAATAACTCTCTTGAATGAATATATCTGTTGGGTGTATCAATTTTCCTAAATTAATTTTTTTTTGTTATAATTTTCAACAACTTATCCCTTTCAGTACGATATCCCGCTTAAAAAAAAAAAGGCTGGCAGACAATGAGTGTCGGCATAAGAAAGTTTTCACTGTATTTGTATTATAAATTTAAAATTTTACTTATAAGTCACTGCTTTTTATTTGATCTTAAATTTAATGAAAACAATGCAACTTCACATTATGATTAATGACATCTCAAATA